TTTGGGTCTGTGTTGCTTAGTATATCTTCCCAGCTTATATCGGTTAGGACTTGGTTTACTTGGTCCCACTTTATGTTTTTGTTATTGAAGTTGAATTTGGTGAATGCTCCCTCGTGACTAGTCCATTTTGTCGGTCTGGGGCTCCTCGCATACATGTCTGAACCTCAATTATGTTGTGATCTGAGTATATTGTTTTTGATATGGTGACATTTCTTATCAGATCATCATTGTTAGTGAATATAAAGGTCTAGTGTTTTCTCCAGTCTAGTAGGCTCTATTATTTGCGGGTTTAAATTGAATTTTGTGCAGAGATTTAAAAGCTCGTGTGAGTGTTGAGTTTTCATCAGAGCTGCCTCCTGGTGTTATTACTGCAAAAATATTATTTGCTATTTTCCCCTCCATTTTAGGTGCCTTAAGTTGAAATCCCCCAGGAGCAAGATGTTGGGTCCCAGGAGCTGGAAAAATTTTCCAGACAGGGGTCAATTTTTAACAGCTGTTCCTGGAATTTCTGGGATGTTGCATCCGGAGGCTTGTAGACTACCAAATGACTGGGTTTTTTGGTTCTCGACCTTTACTGCAAAAACTTCCACTACATCATTTGAGGCATTAAGCAGTTCTGTGCAAACAAGTGACTCTGCAATGTACAGGCCAACCCCCCCCCCCTTTTGCCTGTTCACTCTGTCACATCTGTATAGGTTGTAACCTGGGATCCATATTTTCTTGTCCGAGTGATCCTTTATGTGGGTCTCAGTGAAAGCCGCGAACATTGCCTTTGCCTCTGCAAGCAGTCCACGGATGAAAGGTATTTTGTTGTTTGTTGCTGGCTTTAGACCCTGTATATTTGCAAAGAAGAATGTCATCGGACTGGTGGTAGTGTTGATACTGGGGGGGGGGATTTTTTTCCGGCATTAGTAAATAAGCTCCTTCCCTGTGCATATGCTGCATTTTCATCAAGACTGATGCACTGAACACATCGACTCAAGGCTGAGGGACTGATTACCTCAAACTCCCCATTTTCCAAGGTTTCGCCAGCGACCTAGGTACAAGGTGTTGAAAATACACGATATCTAGGTAAAATGTAGTGAGACCACATGATGCCTATGTTGGGAGGGTTCCGTGGAGATATGATGGTTGGAGATAAAGACACTTGTTGGGTTGTATACACTTATATTAGCAAAGTTGTGAGGGGAGGGGCCCAGCCTAACCTGTCGCCTGTAGGTCTATCTGTGAACTGAGAAAGGGACAGGGTGACTCCCGCCCACAAGCAGCAAAGTGTGATGTCACATGTTAGCCGCTAAGTCTAGCAAGGGGTCGTCTATATAATACATATGGATGGTACTAACAATGGTACTCAGCTATGCTACACAACATATACAGGGGATCAGCAACTATGCTGGCACCTAGGTACAAGTTGTTGTGTCGCAGGGGTTCTTCAGGAAAGGGTGAAGGATTGTTATATGCAAAAACTCAATGCACATAAAAGGCCCTAAAATCTGGAATTCATTACCTGTAAATATAAAAGAAACACAACCTGTTTATAAATTCAAGTCTCTTCTCAAAGATTACTTACTCACCCAAAACCAAATAAATACTGAATAACTGAACATTATAAATTGTATATCTTAAATGTTACTCACAATTATATCACATAAATGTTAAACCTAAAACCCAATCTAACTTTATTATTTTTTAAATACACTACCTAACAGAATCACTACCTAACTGAATGCAACCATATGACCTGTCTTTGTAATACTCACTTGTGCTTTATAGTTATCTGTTTACATTAATGTTTTATCACTGATTTCATCATTGCTTAGTAGCAGCGCTGTATAGTCCTTGTGGCTTAGCGCTTCTTTTTGATTATAATAATAATAATAATCATTGCTTAGTTAATCTTAAGTTAATTTTAAGCCAGCCCGTAATGCTATGCATAGTATAAGTGGCTTTGGCATACTGCTCTTATCTGTATTTTTTTTGTACCTCTGTATGTGTGCACAAATTGGAAATAAATAAATAAATAAATAAATAAATAAATAAAAATATTTATATTGTAAGGACAAAGGTGAAGCCCAGCCTTTATCAGACGTCTGCCCCCGGACCTAGTCGGAATCTAACTGAGGGGCGCTTACCAGGCCGACTGCCTTAGTGGGCCGATCAAGTGTAGTCATGTGACACCAGCGTTGCGTACAGAGGGATGGTGCATATAAGGCATTAGCACATATATACGGATACACCCCGACTTACGTCCGAATTCCGCTCTGACCGACCGGTCGGATCTACAAATGGAGGGATGTGGGAACTGTTAGCATGGCGTGTAGAAGTCATATACCCATACAACATTCTTTTAACCTAATAAATTTTTGTGCAAGAATGGTATATAATACCGACAAGATGAAATTAAGACACTTGTGCAACATCTGGGTATCTTTATTGTAGACGTTTCGCCATCCAGTGGCTTTATCAATACAAATTCCAGGACATAGGTTGAAGACAGAAGACGAGGTAATCAGTCCCTCAACCTTGGAGTAGGTGCGAAGAGCACCGAAGTCGTGGAGATTCTGAAGCAGAAGCAAGGAGCCTGGCGCTTATATAGTAACGTCAGGTGTAGGAAACAAGGGCATAGTCATTGGTAGGCGGGATTCCCCAGTGGAAGTAGGTCCTTCCCAAAGAGATGGGTTAGTTGTAGTAGTAGTTGTCGTAGTCGTGAAGGTTATGTACATGTCCTCGGAACATGTCTTCAAGCTATGTCCTGGAATTTGTATTGATAAAGCCACTGGATGGCGAAACGTCTACAATAAAGATACCCAGATGTTGCACAAGTGTCTTAATAAATTTTTGTTATGATTATCTCTTTTTTTATCAACCTGCTTTATTACCTTAAGTTTCATTACTCACACTTACGTACATGTAATTTTTTTTATTTTTTTCTAATTTATAGTGTATTTTTTCGGTCGTATGTGTGTGAAGGAACGTAAGTCAAATAGGTCAAAAAGTCGGGTAGGATCTGTGCTACCAGGTGTTCCACCACTGACAGTTGAACATACACGACACCTAGGCAAGAGGTGTTGAAAATACATGTCAGTGTTTAGTGAGCCGTTAATCAGACTATGGAACGACAATCTATATACATTTTTATGACCGAGACTCAAACTTGGGTTAGTTCCAGAATTTCAAATAAAACCCAAACACCACAGGACTTTGAAAAAGCAATAAATGAAATGGCCATGCACTCTGCCCCAGCCCCAGACTCATGGAACTCCGTGTTCATCAAGAACTGCAAGAAACCCCCTTTCACGTGCATTAAGCATTCTATGGAGAGGGAGCTTAGACAAGGAGGTGATCCCACAGTCACTTTAAAACGGATATAGTCCCACTCCACAAAGGGGGCAGTAAAGCAATTGCGAAGAATTACAGACCGAAAGCACTAACATCCCACATCGTAAAATTTTTTGTAAAGGTTCTAAGAAGCAAGACCGCCAACCCCTGAAACCCTCCCCAGGTAAACTCCAGGTAAACCACCTGGACACCCAACAACTGCACAACCCAGGGCAACAAGGGTGTAAAGCAGGTCGCTCCTCCCTCTCACAACTCTTAGACCACTATGGTCTTGGATTAAATGGTTATAACTATGACCATAATTTATAAAGGGGTGGACCGGTAAGCCAGCGGAAGGCCTCGGTCAGATGACCAAAAGCTCCAACGGCGAGTCATCATCTGACTAAGACCCGTGTCAGGAAGCATTTGTCCTGTTTCCTAACGAACCTGATCTAACCTAATCTGGGCCCTCAGAAAACAATACGAAGTTCAATGAGGACAAATTCCAACTACTCCGCTATGGAAAACTGGAGGAAATAAAAACTGTATTGGAGTATAAAACAAATTCCAACCACACAATAGAGCGACAAAATAATGTGAAGGGCCTGAGAGTGATAATGCCAGAGAATTTCACTTTCAAAGATCATAACACTGTCTCTACCACATCTGCTAGGAAAATGATAGGATGGATAGTAAAAACCTTCGAAAGTAAGGATGCCAGTCCTATGATGTTTCTCTTTAAATCACTATAATATATACTAAACGGCCCCTTTCAAGTCAGGAGAAATTACATACCGAGAGAATATACAGAGAACTTTCACTGCCATTATAAGTACAATAAAGCACCTCAATTCCTGGGAACGGTTGAAGTCCCTTGACCTGTGCTCCTGGGAATGCAGACAAGAAAGATACATTACAATTTACACCTGGAAAATTTTAGAGAAACTGGTCCTAAATCTGCAAATGGGAATCACTCCCTACAAAAGCAAAAGACTCGGCAGGCGGTGTAACATCTCCCCAATGAAAAGTAAGGGTGCCATGAGTACACTAAGAGATAACACCATAAGTGTCAGGGACCCAAGACCGTTCAACTGCCCTTAGCTGTCTTCAAGAGGGAGCTGGACAGATACCTAGTCAGTACTTCACCAACCGGGCTATGGTTCGTACACTGAATTGCATGAGGCCGACAGTAACAGTGACTGATCAGGCCCTGATCCACCGCGAAGCCTGGTCATGGACCGGGCCGCGGGGGCGTTGACCTTTGTAACACACTCTGGGTATTCTCTAGGTACGTCTAGGTACAAGGTGTTAATAATAAACATCATCTGAACACCTGTTCCTAGGCTGAAGGACTGATCATCTTCTACCTCTTTAGTCTTCTGTTTTTTTGTCTCTGTATTACATTCTTTAAGCCACAGGTTGGCGATACGTCTACAAAATAAAGATACGATCTTGTTGTACATGTGTCTAATTCTTCAACTTGTCGGTATTATATACCATTGATGGTATAATAGGTAGGTGTTGAGAATACTCGTACAACTGCCCTATACATGAACAACGAGCTGTGGCCTCAACAATTTGTCAGAAAGATTTCCGTACAGCAGAATGTATCTTCATGTGGGGGAAGACAACCTGAAACACGCAGTAAAGTCTTTGTACGACCCTGAGCCTCAATTACTTACCAGTGACATGATCTTGCTGCACCAGGAGGAAATTTGACTGGTGAGTGTGTGGGACTCCCCATGGTAGATGTTTGCTCATGATACTCGCACTCCTGTTGTAAGCTTGCTCAAGCAACTTGACCAATGTGTGTGTGTCAGCGAGTTCTGCCTCGCACTCAGCCTCGGACAGTCGCTGCTCCAACACTCCTCTTGTTGGCAGCTTGGCTACTTCAGGAGTTTGCTGCAAATTGATTGAAAAATGTGTCATATAGGGAACCCAAATAAGGAATAAGTTCATTATAGCAAAGATATTCATTGTATGTCACATTTTGGTTTAAAAAAAAATGACGAATTTTGCTACTGTATGGTACAAATGAACTAACAATTAGTAGAAATTACGACGAGCAATGAATATTTCTAAATCACAAAGCTGATGAGGACCTCGGTGAGAGGAAAAAATATTGTTGTTTTGTGGTCTCACTGTTGGTTGATTTGTGCCAGAGACCAGTGATGATAAGAGCGTGTAAGATGCACCTCTCTCTATATTTCACAACATTCTGTGAGGCTAGATAGCGAGAGGCAGGTTGTATACCGCAGTGCTCCACACTGGCTCAAAACATTCACCTCATAGTAACATTTTCCGATACATCGTCGTAATAGGACGACACAACATTCATTTGTATTTTGCTTTTATGTATCACTATCTATAACCATGTGAGGTGAAATACTTTCGATCAAGCGCTATCAGGATTCTAGTCATTCCCATTGGTTCTCTCTCTCTCTCTCTCTTTCTCTTCCTCCTCTCCGCCTCTCTCTTTACATAGGGTTGTACAAGGTTAGGTTAAGTGTTTCTAACTTTATGTATAAGCTAAAAGCTGTTACCTACATCTGCTCATTTTAAAGGCTTCTTATCGTTATTACACGTAAAAAAAAATAAGGAACAGGATGAAGTTGGTGCCATCTTCAGGAAGGTGCTGGACAGGCACCTCAAGCCAGCACATGACCAGCCGGGCTGAGGTTCGTACGTCAGTTTGCGTGCAGCCAGCAGTAACAGCCTGGTTGATCAGACCCTGACCCACCACGAGGCCTGGTCTCAGACCCTGACCCACCACGAGGCCTGGTCTCAGACCGAGCCGCGGGGGCGTTGACTCCCGAAACCCTCTCCAGGTATACTCCAGGTATCTGTGGGTCAGCGATTTCATTTGATCAACTGTATTTCGTTGACGCCGCTGTGCTGCGCGAACATTTTTGAAGATTCGAGTCATCCTAGGAATAAATGAGAAAAGTTACATAGTGTAATTGCTGTTTGCTGCCCGTCTTGTTGTGTAGAAGTTCACTTCTCGCTGTCCACGTGGTGGAGCTAAGTGCGGTACTTTGATAATGTTGTCTTTGTACATAACAGTAAAGCTACCCACATCCCTCCGGTAAAGGCTCTGATGAAAGAAGAGATCATGTCCAGACCTGGTCCAGACGATAGATGAGTTGTCTTGCTGTTTTCTATTATGTCAAGAAGTCGCAAATGAGAAGGAGGGAAGGCAATCCAAGAAAGTGGAGCATACTCAAGGTGTGAGCGCACTTGTGCCTGGTACAGAGTCTTGCAGATTCTGTTGTCGAGCAGATACGAGATACAACGTAGTGCTTTAAACTTCCTGGCTGCCTTGTTTGCAAGATTTGCTATGTGGTTCTTCATAGTTTGTAATCAAATTTCATCTCTAGGATATCAACCTTATCCCAGGGATCCACACTCTCCCATTCAGTCTTACCCCTGCTCCAGCATTACCATCATGGAGCCTAGAGACCATCATCATTTGTGTTTTCTTAGAAGCAAATGTAACCTGCCATATTTCTCCCCAGGTTGAAATAGCTGTAACATAGTAATTGATGCAACTTAGAATAATTGGTATTTCCTCTCTTGAATGTGTAAAGTCAGAGTACAACCGTCTGTATATGCATGGGGTTCTGTGATAAGCTGAAGAAGGTCACTGAAGTAGACATTTCAAAATAATGGCCCCTAAGCATACTTCCTTGTGGAACACTTGCACCAACTGAGTGTCTTGTTGACTCCGTCCCGCTGAGACCTATTTTTGGAAATCTACCTTGAAGGTAATCATTGAGGAGGCATGGTGCAGAGCCGGCGACTCCTAGTGCTTGCAGTTTTCCAAGAGTCCAATGTGCCATATTCGATTGAAAGCACCAGCAATGTCGAGTGCTAATACTCAGCTGACCTTGGATTCATCCAGTGACTGGTGACACAGTGGGAACGTTTAACAGCAGATCAGCAGCAAAGTGACCTTTCCTGAAGCCATATTGACGGTCACATAGAAGTGAGGGGTAGTCGAAAAACGCTGTCGCCTGCCGTGAGATTATTGTCTCAAGAAACTTGCCAGTGATTAACAGGAGTGACATTGGTCCGCAGTTGCTGGTTTCCGCTCTGCTCTTCTTTTTGTGAACAGACTATATTTGCCTCTTTCCACAGAGAAGGGCATATACACTGTGCTAAGCAGTTATATTAGAGGTGCTGCTAGCTGGTCTGCACATCTACTCAGTAATCTTGGGTTCACCTTATCTGGGCTGACAGCCTTTTTTTTTGGTCTAGCTATTTAAGGAGGAAATACACTTCATCCTGCCTTATCGTCACCACTGATAACTTTGATACAGTTTTTGCGGCTAGCAAAGGAGGTTGGTTTCCTTGCTGGATCAGGAACTTGCATCTTGGCAGATAGTGTTCGGCAAAGATGTCGGCTTTCTCCTGGTTGCTAGTAGAGACGATCACATTCTGCTGATTGAGAGGCGGAATAATTTCATCAGGTGAATAAACCTCTCAGTCCTCGACCAATGACCACCAGGTTTCGGAGCCCACTCTACCTGACACCAGCTTTCTGTATGTGTCAGCCTCCCATCTAGAGATGGCCCACTTTTGAACTTCTTCTTTTGCGAATAGGCTTGCGTGTGTAGGTTCCTGTTATAGATAGTGGGATTCCTCTTATACCTTCTCCAAGCCTTGAACTATGCAGTAGCAGCCTCTTGACAACGAAAGCCACACCAAGGCTGATCTGAAAGCTTCGTCACATACTGCTAGTGAGGGATATCAACATCACTTTGGTGAAGAGCATTCCAATCGGAGGTGGTGAGCTAGGAGAGAAAGGTCGGCCAGTTTCATGTTTCCCACAGTCAAGGGGATGACAGTCGACTGTGCTTTCAGATAGATTAGTCACTACTAGGCGAAGGGCAGAGTCAGAGATGTGAGTAGGGAAGTTTACCAAGTTTCTCATATCAAACACTTCAAGAACGCACTCTCTCTCTCTCCCTCTCTCTCTCTCTCTCTCTCTCTCTCTCTCTCTCTCTCTCTCTCTCTCTCTCTCTCTCTCTCTCTCTCTCTCTCTCTCTCTCTCTCTCTGTCTCTCTCTCTTTTCTCTCTCCTCTCTCTCTCTCTGTCTGTCTGTCTATCTATCTATCTGCCTATCTATCTATCTATCTGCTTATTTATCTATCTGTCTATCTCTCTCTCTCACTCTCTCTCTCTCTCTCTCTCTCTCTCTCTCTCTCTCTCTCTCTCTTCTTCTCTCTCTCTCTCTCTCTCTCTCTCTCTCCTCTCTCTCTCTCTCTTTCTCTCTCTTTACGAAGGTTTTTACAAGGTTACCTGGAGTTTACCTGAACAGAGTTCCGGGGGTCAACGCCCCCGCGGCCCGGTCTGTGACCAGGCCTCCTGGTGGATCAGAGCCTGATCAACCAGGCTGTTACTGCTGGCTGCACGCAAACCAACGTACAAGCCACAGCCCGGCTGGTCAGGAACCGACTTTAGGTGCTTGTCCAGTGCCAGCTTGAAGACAGCCAGGGGTCTGTTGGTAATCCCCCTTATGTGTGCTGGGAGGCAGTTGAACAGTCTTGGGTCCCTGACACTTATTGTGTTGTCTCTTAACGTGCTAGTGACACCCCTGCTTTTCATTGGGGGGATGTTGCATCGTCTGCCGAGTCTTTTGCTTTCGTTATGAGTGATTTTCGTGTGCAAGTTCGGTATTAGTCCCACTAGGATTTTCCAGGTGTATATAATCATGTATCTCTCCTAACTTTATTTACAAGCTAAGAGCTGTTACCTGCATCAGCTCATTTTAAAGCCTTTATAACGGAGATAAAACACCTCAATTACTGGGAGCGCTTGAGGTTTCTAAACCTGTATTCCCTGGAACGCAGGCGGGAGAGATACATGATTATATACACCTGGAAAATCCTAGAGGGACTAGTACCGAACTTGCACACGAAAATCACTCACAATGAAAGCAAAAGACTCGGCAGACGATGCAACATCCCCCCAATGAAAAGCAGGGGTGTCACTAGCACGTTAAGAGACAACACAATAAGTGTCAGGGACCCAAGACTGTTCAACTGCCTCCCAGCATACATAAGGGGGATTACCAACAGACCCCTGGCTGTCTTCAAGCAGGCACTGGACAAGCACCTAAAGTCGGTACCTGACCAGCCGGGCTGTGGCTCGTACGTTGGATTGCGTGCAGCCAGCAGTAACAGCCTGGTTGATCACGCTCTGATCCACCAGGAGGCCTGGTCACAGACCGGGCCGCGGGGGCGTTGATCCCCGCAACTCTTTCCAGGTAAACTCCAGGTAAACAGGAAACAAGATGAAGTTGGAGTCATCTGTGGGCTGTTGAGTTCATTTGGTCAACTGATTTTATTTACGTTCCAGACTCGAGTCATCCTAGGAATAAATGATCACAGTGATGTTCTGGAGAAGGTTACAGTCAGAGTGAAGTTGCTGTTTGCTGCCCGTCTTGTTGTGTAGAAGCTCACTTCTCGCTGTCCTCTGAGTGGAGCCAAGTGTGGTACTTTGATAATGTTGGCCACGAACATTACAGTAAGGCTACCCACATCCCTCCGGTGTCGGACACTGTTAAAATGACATATCTGTCCAGGATGGGACCAGGCGAGAGATGAGACGTCTTGCTCTGTTCTCTGTTCTGTCAACATGTCGCAGATAAGACGGGAAGCATCTAATTTAGAAAAGTGGAGCAAACTTAAGGTGTGAGCGTATTTGTGCCTCGTACAGAATTTTACAACTTCTACCGTCGAGCAGATGCGAGATTTTTCTTTTTTTCTTTTTTTAGATTTTGTCACCGAAGTGGCTAGTTTATTGTGCACCCCATATCCATCCTGTAGACGGTAGCGAGAGATATGTCGAGGTGCTGTAAGCTTCCTGGTCGCCTTGTTTGCGAGATTGACAACGTGGTTCTTCATGGTCAGTTGGGAGTCAAATTTTGCCCCAAGGATATCAACTTCATTCCCGGATACCAACTCTCTCTCTCTCTCTCTCTCTCTCTCTCTCTCTCTCTCTCTCTCTCTCTCTCTCTGTTCTTTGAATCAAGCAGTGGTGTAGTATGAATCAAGCTGTGATGTAGTATGAATCAAGCAGTGATGTAGTATGAATCAAGCTGTGACGTAGTATGAATCAAGCTGTGATGTAGTATGAATCAAGCTGTGATGTAGTATGAATCAAGCTGTGATGTAGTATGAATCAAGCTGTGATGTAGTATGAATCAAGCTGTGATGTAAACAAACCATACCCCCGGCCGGGATTGAACCCGCGGTCATAGAGTCTCAAAACTCCATCCCGTCGCGTTAGCCACTAGACCAGCTAGCCACAATAAGATTCATCCAACTAGGTATATTTCTACACCATAGGAAGGTTAGCACAGGCACCACTGTGACCATGTTGACGGCAGTGAAGGGACTTGAGCTAGAGTTCGTCACGGCCACGCTAGCTGGAGATTCGTCTGTAAAAACTTACATTTGTGGTCACAGTGGTGCCTGTGCTAACCTTCCTATGGTGTAGAAATATACCTAGTTTGATGAATCTTATTGTGGCTAGCTGGTCTAGTGGCTAACGCGACGGGCTGGAGTTTTGAGACTCTATGACCGCGGGTTCAATCCCGGCCGGGGGTATGGTTTGTTTGCAATCGTGTCATTACGATTTCTTGAGTCAAGCAGTGATGTAGTATGAATCAAGCTGTGATGTAGTATGAATCAAGCTGTGATGTAGTATGAATCAAGCTGTGATGTAGTATGAATCGAGCAGTGATGTAGTATGAATCGAGCAGTGATGTAGTATGAATCGAGCAGTGATGTAGTATGAATCAAGCTGTGATGTAGTATGAATCAAGCTGTGATGTAGTATGAATCAAGCAGTGATGTAGTATGAATCGAGCAGTGATGTAGTATGAATCAAGCTGTGATGTAGTATGAATCAAGCAGTGATGTAGTATGAATCAAGCTGTGATGTAGTATGAATCAAGCTGTGATGTAGTATGAATCGAGCAGTGATGTAGTATGACTCAAGCTGTGATGTAGTATGAATCGAGCAGTGATGTAGTATGAATCGAGCAGTGATGTAGTATGAATCAAGCTGTGATGTAGTATGAATCAAGCTGTGATGTAGTATGAATCAAGCTGTGATGTAGTATGAATCAAGCAGTGATGTAGTATGAATCGAGCAGTGATGTAGTATGAATCAAGCTGTGATGTAGTATGAATCAAGCAGTGATGTAGTATGAATCAAGCTGTGATGTAGTATGAATCAAGCTGTGATGTAGTATGAATCAAGCTGTGATGTAGTATGAATCGAGCAGTGATGTAGTATGAATCAAGCTGTGATGTAGTATGAATCAAGCTGTGATGTAGTATGAATCAAGCTGTGATGTAGTATGAATCAAGCTGTGATGTAGTATGAATCAAGCTGTGATGTAGTATGAATCAAGCAGTGGTGTAGTATGAATCAAGCTGTGATGTAGTATGAATCAAGCTGTGATGTAGTATGAATCAAGCTGTGATGTAGTATGAATCAAGCAGTGGTGTAGTATGAATCAAGCAGTGATGTAGTATGAATCAAGCTGTGATGTAGTATGAATCAAGCAGTGATGTAGTATGAATCAAGCTGAGATGTAGTATGAATCAAGCAGTGGTGTAGTATGAATCAAGCTGTAATGTAGTATGAATCAAGCTGTGATGTAGTATGAATCAAGCAGTGATGTAGTATGAATCAAGCTGTGATGTAGTATGAATCAAGCTGTGATGCATCAGAACAAGGATAAACCTACGTATGAAGGAAGGAGCAGTGGTGGTGGTGGGTTACTCAGCAGGTGGTGTAGAGCTCCCCAGGAGCCGTTGTTAGGTGCTGGTGTTATACCCAGCAGGTGACACATAAGGTTGTACAGCTCAATGTTATGGAACACTTCCACCTCTGTGTTCCTGCGAAACTCTGGTCCGTGGGCCACGAACACCGCCTGAACCACCGGTACAAGAGTTGCACTTAGTACAAGCTTTTAAGATTTAATGTATACACACACAAACACACACACACACACACACATATATATATATATATATATATATATATATATATATATATATATATATATATATATATATATATATATTATATATATATATTATATATATATATATATATATATATATAATATATATATATATATATGCTTAACAATTCGCAAACAGGCGAAATTATTTACAAACATTGTCTTTAAGTCCACAGCAGGACTTGAACCTGCAAACTCTGCTATGGACGTAGAGACAATGTCTGTAAATAACTTCACATTGCGAATTGTTAAGCATTTCAGATCTCTTTCATTGTCCACTGCATGTGGCAGGATTTAATGAAATAGCTTTGAAAACAAGCCTGGTGCCCCAGGGCATGGGGAAACATCGCCTAGCTTCGGCTAGGCGCTCATACTTATCTGGGATCTGGCTCCGTGGTAAAGTACTGGAGACTCTGATACAGAGTTTGCAGGTTCGAGTACTGCTGTGGAAGTAGAAATAATGTTTGTGCATAAAGTATTCTATTGTACTGTCACTGATCTGCGATTCCCACGAATGCCTTTGACCGCAGCAGATTTCTACTCAAGGTTAAGCACACGACGGTCACAGAGGACACAGTTACACATAGTTACAAACCTATCAGTAACAGATAGCAACATGTAGCCATGAACAATATCTCATCTAGTATCCTACTCACAAACGTAAGTATCCCACAAGGTAGCATTCTGGGCTCTCTGCTTTTTCTCATTTGCATCAGTAACATGCCTAACCCCAGCCAGCACCTGACACCTGACGCCACTTCTTCAATAACAGGTTAAGATTCAGTGTCAGTAAAATGACTCCATAATAAATAACAAACATAGAAAAGTTCACTCATGGATGATTACCAACAAAATCACCTTCGATATTGAAAATAAAACTTTATATATTTTATGACAAGAAAATATCTAAAATTTAGATATTACAATCAACGATATTCAAATAGTGCAAAGTAAAGACTGAAAATTCCTAGCTCTAATAATTTGAAATTTAATACAAATAACGACACATTGTATCAATCGCATCTGCTAGAAAATGACAGGATGGATAATGAGAACCTTTAAAACTAGGGAGGCCAAGCCCATGATGACACTCTTCAGGTCACTTGTTTTATCTAGGCTGGAATATTGCTGCACACTAACAGCACCTTTCAAGCAGGTGAAATTGCCGACCTAGAAAATGTACAGAGAACTTTCACGGCGCGCATAACGGAGATAAAACACCTCAATTACTGGGAGCGCTTGAGGTTCCTGAACCTGTACTCCCTGGAACGCAGGCGGGAGAGATACATGATTATATACACTTGGAAAATCCTAGAGGGACTAGTACCGAACTTGTACACGAAAATCACTCACTACGAAAGCAAAAGACTTGGCAGACGATGCACCATCCCCCCAATGAAAAGCAGGGGTGTCACTAGCACGTTAAGAGACAACACAATAAGTGTCAGGGGCCCGAGACTGTTCAACTGCCTCCCAGCATACATAAGGGGGATTACCAATAGACCCCTGGCTGTCTTCAAGCAGGCACTGGACAAGCACCTAAAGTCGGTACCTGACCAGCCGGGCTGTGGCTCGTACATTGAATTGCGTGCAGCCAGCAGTAACAGCCTGGTTGATCAGGCTCTGATCCACCAGGCAGCCTGGTCACAGACCGGGCCGCGGGGGCGTTGACCCCCGGAACTCTGTCCAGGTAAACTCCAGATATATACATATAAAGACAGTAGGGATACTCTCCAAAATGATCTGTTATGTTGGGCAGTTGCCCGCACTGCTAACACTACTGTCTTCATCAGGTTCCAATACCTGACAAGTGGAAACTGTGTCAGGAGATCCACTTAAACAACTCACTTCAAACCGATTATAAGTCATCAAAAAGTAGATGTCAGAGCAATCACGACAAGCATCACACTATGTCATCATTCATATCCCTAAAATACTGAAAATAAATGCAATTCATACAGGCTACTGTTCAATTTACATGTTCAACACAGAGTATGGTAATTCTGTGGCTTAATTCAAGCAATTCACAGACAACCGTAACAAAACACATGCAGACAACAAGAGAAACAAATACCTCTTCGGTAACTCTTGTAATTGACTGAATAGTTACCAGAATTCTATACAAATTGAAAGACTCAGAAAATGAAATATCTTAACAGATGAAAAGGAAAATTGCAACACTTATACAGTTCAGAACTAAGATAAAACTGCCACTGTGTATCTTAATACTGTACAGTGGTCACATCATTCACCCAATATCTTACATTTCTCCTTACATTTCCATATTTGTTTCTACATACGAGCACTATTGCTTCAGTATACTGTAATGAGCCTTGCTACATAAAATGTTCATTACATTTAGCCTTAAGTTACTGTAGTAAATGCCATCAAATTAAGTAAATAATTACTATCCGAGAACATTATTTACGTTAGAAATTATTTTTTCTAGCTGTCACGCACTAGGCTACACTGGTAATCTACTGCCAAGTATGAATGTTGGTAATAAAATATACAGAAAAATTACTTTCGTTCTGACTATCTTTAATGTTTCTGCACGTATGTATGAGGACTGTATTACCTGGGTTCAACATGTCTTAACGAAACTCCTCCTACTTTCAAAAAAGTAAATATTATTATATAGAATGATGTGATCCTTCACACCTGAGAGCCCTGTGATCCTTCACACCTGAGAGCCCTGTGATCCTTCACACCTGAGAGCCCTGTGATCCTTCACACCTGAGAGCCTGTGATCTTCACACCTGAGAGCCCTGTGATCCTTCACACCTGAGAGCCCTGTGATCCTTCACACCTGAGAGCTCTGTGATCCTTCACACCTGAGAGCCCTGTGATCCTTCACACCTGAGAGCCCTGTGATCCTTCACACCTGAGAGCCCTGTGATCCTTCACACCTGAGAGCTCTGTGATCCTTCACACCTGAGAGCCTAGTGATCCTTCACACCTAAAAGCCCATTGATCCTTCATTCCTGAGAGCCCAGTGATCCTTCACACCTTGAGACTCTGTGATCCTTCACACCTGAAGACACTGTGATCCTTCACTCCTAGGGACCCTGTGGTCCTTCACACCTGGGAACCCTGTGATCCTTCACACCTGGGAACCCTGTGATCCTTCACACCTGGGGACCCAGTGATCCTTCACACCTGGGGACCCAGTGATCCTTCATACCTGGGGACCCAGTGATCCTTCATACCTGGGGACCCTGTGATCCTGCATACCTGGGACCCTGTGATCCTTCACACCTGGGGACCCAGTAATCCTTCATACCCGGGGACCCAGTGATCCTTCACACCTGGGAATCTTGTGATCCTGCATACCTGGGACCCTGTGATCCTTCACACCTGGGGACCCAGTAATCCTTCATACCCGGGGACCCAGTGATCCTTCATACCTGGGGACCCAGTGATCCTTCATACCTGGGGACCCTGTGATCCTTCACACCTGGGAATCTTGTGATCCTGCATACCTGGGAACCCTGAGATCCTTCACACCTGGGGACCCAGTGATCCTTCATACCTGGGGACCCTGTGATCCTTCATACCTGGGGACCCAGTGATCCTTCATACCTGGGGACCCTGAGATCCTTCACACCTGGGGACACAGTGATCCTTCACACCTGGGGACCCAGTGATCCTTCATACCTGGGGACCCTGTGATCCTTCACACCTGGGAACCCTGAGATCCTTCACACCTGGGGATCCAGTGATCCTTCATACCTGGGACCCTGTGATCCTTCACACCTGGGGACCCTGTGATCCTTCACACCTGGGGACCCAGTGATCCTTCATACCTGAGGACCCAGTGATCCTTCATACCTGGAGACCCTGTGATCCTTCACACCTGGGAATCTTGTGATCCTTCATACCTGGGAACCCTGAGATCCTTCACACCTGGGGACCCAGTGAACCTTCATACCTGGGGACCCTGTGATCCTTCACACCTGGGGACCCAGTGATCCTTCATACCTGGGGACCCTGAGATCCTTCATACCTGGGGACACAGTGATCCTTCACACCGGGGGACCCAGTGATCCTTCATACCTGGGGACCCTGTGATCCTTCGCACCTGGGAATCTTGTGATCCTTCACACCTTGGGACCCAGTGATCCTTCATACCTGGGACCCCTGTGATCCTTCAAACCTGGGGACTCAGTGATCCTAAATACCTGGGGACCCTGAGATCCTTCACACCTGGGGACCCTGTGATCCTTCACACCCGGGAATCTTGTGATCCTTCATCCCTGGGGACCCTGTGATCCTTCACATCTGGGAACCCTGAGATCCTTCATACCTGGGGACCCTGTGATCCTTCACCCCTGGGGATAATGTGATCATTCACACCTGGGGACCATGTGATCCATCACATTCATGGACCATGTGTTCCTTCACACCAGGGGACCATGTGATCCTTCACACCTGGGGACCATGTGATCCATAAAAATCTTGGCCCCTGGATCCATCACAGGGGGGGGAACCCCAGTGATCCTTCCACTGGGGAACCATGTGATCCATCACCCTGGGGCCCAGGATCCCCAAAATCAGGGACCATGTGATCCTCACACCTGGGAACCGTGATCCACAACCGGGAACCATGTGACCCCATACCCCTGGGACCCAGGATCCATCACAATCATGGCCCTGTACCCATCACCCCGGGGACCCATGATCCATCACAATCATGGACCATGTGACCCACACCCCTTTGGGAACCAGTGATCCTTCACACCGGGAAAACCATGTGATCCATACACCTGGGGACCCAGTGATCCATCACAATATAGACCATTGTCCTTCCACCGGGGAACCATGTGATCCTTCACACTGCAGACATGTGATCCTTCACCCCCTCGGCCCATGTGACCCTTCACACCTACGGACCTGTGATTTTCACACCGGGGGGACCCGTGATCCAAACAATCAGGACCAGT